TCCTCTCCAAAATGATACTTTACTCCAGCGTAGACATTTGAGTTGGGCAATATCAGTCGAAAACCGTTTTCAAGGGCTTCTTTTATATCGAGAAATAAGCGAAGTTCCAACGGTGCCGTTATACTTGTTGTCATGAATGCTTCGTAGTGATAGCTTAGAAACGAGGTTACTGCGAGACTAAAAAATAAGGCGGGATTCTTCCAATCATTAAGATTCTCTGGGGCAATATAATAAAAAAGTTTAGGGCATCGAACATCATGGAGATTCGGCGACCAATTAGGGCGAAAAATGAGAACGATGTTAGTAATGCAAGCCATGTGTTGAGGTCGAAAGGTGACGTAATCCAGGACCAGGATGGTGGGTCGTAGTCAGCTTTTGTGATGCAGTAAATGAGGTGCATTTCCCGCTGGATGAACGAAGATATAATGGGATGTGTATAATCGGAAAAGTTTTCTGGCGAAGAGTTTCTAACACCTCGTTCGCATTTAATGAGCGGCGCCCATTCGCTGTCGTCGCTGTCGTCAAGAAACGGGCAGGATAGTAACGCTAATAGAGTATAAATTGACTATCAGTAAACGATAATACATTTAGCACGAAAATTAATGGTAATAAGCTTGTAATATGTGTGTTTGCGATTTTAAATTTGAGGGTAAACTTATTTATTGATTATTAAAATCTACTTGCCTAGATAATCCACCTACAATTAAATTGCAATCACAATCGCAAACACTTATTCCTACTCAATCTTCCTAGTGGAATAAATCCGCATATTCGTAGTTTTAAATCGCAACGCTTGATAATATTTTTCAGACTAACATTCTTTTTGGATTGGTGATCAATCCCGCTACTTATGTACTTGACACAAATTTTAACTACAAGTTCTTACCTTCCACAGATGCATTGAGCCGCTCCTTTTCAATCTCATGAAGTGGATAACCAACTTGACAGCCTGGCTCGGAGTCAAAGTACTTCTGACAGTTTGCCAATCTCGGATTTTGCCGGACTTGTTCTTCCGTAGCGAAATAATCTCTGCCTTGATGGAAAAGAATTTTACCTCCATACGCGTTCGAAGACAATTTCCCGTGAAACTGACGGAAAATCATGAAGGAACTCCAACTTGCCAAGTCTGATTAAACTATTTTTAGCTGGACAAAGGTAACAGAGTTGATGAGCGATGGCAATAACGTTCAAGTTGTCGTTGTTTCGAGATGTCCATGTAATAAATGTCAAATGACATGTGAACCCTAATTTAGGAATATCAATGCCTTGATGGAATATTTCTTGTGAGAAAGAACTCCTCCAATGGGCTATGTTGTATAACATAACGTTATAATTGTTCCCACTGGAATGTCCAGACTTAATGATTACATTAGATAAATCTTGCATATTATGGGTCAAAGTTATAAAAATTTTAATGTTTTGAAGAGCATGTCGTTTTGGCGGCGAGTAGAAAAACGCTTCCCTGTCAACACCTTGATCATTATCCTGCCATGTAGCGTTGTCTTGGAGGTGGTGTGATATCGTGATGGGGGATGTTATTACGCCATGTTGAAAATTTGAATTGAAGTTTAATATAATACTCGAAGATCTATTTTGGACCAAAATTCTGAAATTAATGTCATATAAAGTTGATATTTTTCAAGTAAGGGTACTAAGCGAGAGGGTATTGGCAGGACGGTAATATAAAAATAGGATGACTGTGAAGGAATACATTTTACATTGGAAAAAATTCGTCATTTTTGTCACAATTTGTAAGTCACTATGCACTTTATGTCTAAATTCGATTCCAAATTACATGCGAACCAACAGCCAAAAATATATTTGCATGTGGGTGAAAGATAAATCCTAAGTATGAAGCAAGGTTAAAATACGTCTACATTTTATGATAAAATGGAGACATATGTAAAAACTTTATGTATGTACAAGGTGTCGCAGTTTATGCTCTTTGGTAATACGGGCTTCCGAAGGACCACACACTAGGCAAGCCATCGATATGTACGAATCAGCTATTATGGTGACGAGAGGAACTTAGATTCAACCTCGGAACTGTAAGATTGTCAGGCACGCAATTTCATACATATAGGGTGCTGATCAAATTTGACCACATCTTTGCATCGAGTTGTTGCAAGCTTACTATCCAAAAACGGAGATGCTCGTGAAACTAATTGTTTATCAGTTCTGAACTCCTTAACATTTAATTTTCCGAACCAGAGATCCCGTACTATATAGTGGCGATGGAGAACTTTGACCTAAAAATGGTCAAAAAATGATTGTAGAAATCTCAAATTTTGGGATAATATCCTAAATGTATCCAGCCACAGATATTCGCGAACAAAGAAGACCGAAGTCCATTATCCATCTCGTATTTAACTGTTTTCATCACGCCCGCCATTACTGCTTTTTCGGAAGACTTTGCAGCTTAAAGTGTAATTATCTCCTACCTGAATTGAAATTTTCTTAAAGTTTCGACTGTTTCACAAAGCTGGGAGTATGTCTTCTTACATATAGCCCAAATTTTTTTATTGAGTGAAGATAAGGGTTGAATGTGAGGTTTTCATATTTCAGCGTCAAACTGATTTTTTTTTCAATTTCTTCCTTGATAGTCATTGCATTATGAATTGGTCCAAGGTCGGTCCAAAAAATTACATTTTATATTTTCTGATACCCCTTGATGAAAGGAGTCAGACGGTCTATCTCACATTTCCGAAAACAAACTTGTGCCTCCACACAGCCATTTTGAACCGAGGGGTCCGAAACATGCACAAATTTACCCAACACCTGCCAAACATGAAATTTCTTTATATATTATATATTTCCCACAAAAAAATTGCCTTCCCGAAGTTTCTGTCACGTTTTTGAAGACGTCAGACTCGTCGCCAATGACCAACTGTTTTGGTGAAATTTTGTAGTAAAGCTTGGGAGGGCTTGCGTTCACCATTTTTTCTTGACCTTCCGTATGCTTTGCTGCAGACTTCTTTGAATACGCTTTGACCCACAACTTATGAGCCTTCACATGATGTGCACAGTCTGGATTAATCTTCGACTTCATGGCCGCATTAGGCACAAACGTGGAGCGGTACTTTCCAAAAATAAATTTAATCGTTTTTCATTTTCAAGGGGTCAATATGGTGGTTTTTTCTTGTGGTGCGTATTTGAAGTTGGTATTTTCGGATTCGCCATACTTTTTTATGTATGTCCTAATTTTTGCACGAGCACACCTCTCTCCGTTGAAATTTAGTCAAGTCTTCTTCGAGTCTTTGCCGCTCAGATTTTGGTACTTACAAAAAACTCGTTTCCCGACTTCCTCGCTTTGAAGTTGCGTACGAAATTTGTTTTTCAAGGAAAGCTTATGAAATTTTGAGGAGACGTGGTCAGATATATTTCACATATTATACCAAAATTTGAGATTTCAAGAATCATTTTTTGACCATTTTTAGGTCAAAGTTCCCCATCGCCACTATATAGTACGGGATCTCTACATATACTTCTCAACTGTGTGCTTCAGGCGTCAGGCTAATTTTCAAGTTCTTGTCGTTATAGAGAGTACCCTAATATATATACACTGTTAAAAATATGGTAGAGTCACATATACATATACTCCGTACTGGTATTGATTTGGTAATAATTCGCTACCAGATTGGTAGTAGTTTGTTCCTCAGGGATAAACCTGAATAAACTTCGTATTCGTCCTTTTTCCAGGAGGTTTTTGGCACATGTAATTTTTTTTAAATTGAATTCACTTCTAGTTTTAGGTTATCGAAGATTTTATCTAGCTGGTGGAATAATTAAAAGTTATTTCGTGTACATGAACCCATTGCAAAAGTTCCCATCATACGTATATATTTACTGAATCAAAAGTTACGGCTAAATTCGTCTTGATTTCGAATAAAAAAATCCACCCAATTAAACGAACACCCTTTACTCTGCGCCTCGACGTGACCATAGCAAGGTATATTTGTTATGTTGGGTATTTTGTACCAAAAATAGTTTACGTAATATATTATATATATTACATGGAATTTTGGATACAAAATTCTGTGTCGTGTGTCACGAAAGGATTTGTAAAGCTACATATGTACATACATTTAAAAGATTTTTATTCTAGATATATATATATAAGGTCCACATTCAATAGAATACATATACTTATTAATAGTCCACCAGTACCTGGCTTACAGGCCAGAACACTGACTCAAGAAGACATGAGTTCAATAGGTATGAATTACGCTGCAAGAGTTGTACACATGACTTTCATGGAATTATATGTATGTATTCTCATGTTCCGTTGCCGGAAGACAATCTGTTTGAAATATCTAGCTAAATACTAAGTTAGTTCGCATATCCCTTCATTTTAAATTCTATCTGGTCCACCCCTAATTTTTAATTTCAATAATTACCCATTTTCCTCCATAATGCATGTCCTAGTAAACGCGATATTCCACCAGTATCTATCTACTTTTGAAGTTAATGGAACCGGGATGTATGTATTTATATTAGCACCTGCCTAGCTCGTGGAAACCATCTCGCCACAAATGGATTATGTGCCGCAGACGTTAACCATTTAACACAACAGAATATGTTCTGGTATTGTTACATGTAGCATCCATTTGCTTAAGAGTGTTCACGTGGATCAATGTGCCTACGTAGGTATATGCATTTACATATTCATCCATGCTAATCCAATTACGTGATAAAAAATTACTTCAACCAATTCTAATTATTTTCAATAAGGTATTGTCCACATTAACCGCATTACAGGTGTTGTTTAACCATGCAGAAAATGTAATATGCGAATTTCTCAGAAAAATTTAATTTAATTACACACTCTACCTTGCCCTAATTGCAATTAAAATCAATTAGTGGCCAAGAAATCCATAAAACATGTTATAAAATGTATTTTTATTGGAATCCAGACATTTATTGTGAATTTCATAACCGATCTGTCGGACAATTAAGTGTTTTAAAAAATAAAATACTTAATATAAATTAGAATTGATGCGACTCAATTACGGGCACAGAAATTCCAGTATGTTGTTCATCTATTTAATTCAGGTTGTTTTCATCGGGAGAGCAGCGTCCGATGACGAAAGTAATTTTATCGAGTCTTTCAGCACCTTTAAGGTTGGTAAATCCGTTAATTTTTTAAAATGAGGTTAGCCAAGCTCTGAAATTCCCCAAGTTGGGCACATTAACAAAGATTAAAAAAAGTGTTGCGAGATTTATAAAATTTTGCAAAACTTTTTTCCTGATTTTGGTTACTAGATTTGCTCGGAAGGTTGGATGCTTACTTAGCAGGATTAGATCACTTATCTGAATAAACTCAATAGTTTAGTTAACTTAATCTACACACTCCTTAAAAATTTGTTAACACAGACGCAGTTTGCCAAAGAGTATGCAACTCTGGAAGAAGATAAATTTCGCATGAATATTGTCTCCTCCGCCTTGAAGCAAATAAATGCTCATAATTCGCAAAAAGGGAAAAGTTTTAGCCTAGGATTGAACCAGTTTTCCGATCTGAGCGAAGATGAATATTTTCAAAAAAAGTTGGGAATTCGCAGCCCACCGCCTAACTCGGTGTTGTCAAAACCCGCTGAAATTAGTGGAAATGCGGTGGAAACACCGGAGACCCTGGATTGGAGGAAACAAGGCCTAGTGACCCGGGTTAAAAATCAGGGGCAATGTGCATCCTGTGGATTTTTTGATACGGTAAATTTAAATACAACAGTGAGACAATTCATGCACTCCTTAATAATTTAATGGAATCCGTAAAACCCGTATATTGCAAAGTTTTACAAGCGTTCAAAAATATTTCTAAGGAAAAAAAATTACAAATTTTTGTAAATTCGTCAGATCAAGGGCTTACGAATTTTTTAAATCATGTTACAGAATTTAAGGCTTTTACAAACACACGAAGTACTTCGTGAATTGCTTCAAGTAAATGCTAAAAAGTTACATGATTAAAAAAAACAGATTGGATCTGTTGAAGCCGTTTTGGCCAAAAAGACTGGAAAACTAATCGCCCTTAGCGAACAGCAACCAGGGGACTGCGCATATGAATATTTTTACCGTAAGGAAATACGCTCCGAAATTTAGAAACAAATTCTTCCAATGATACATTTTCAATTAATATAAAGCTAAAAATAAAAAACGTGGCATGTGCGACGGTGTGGCAAGAGCTGATATTCCACTCGAGTACATAAAACACGTCGGAGGCATAATGTCCGAAGAGGATTATCCCTACACTGCCGAAAATGGTGACGAATGCAAATACGACCCCTCCAAAAGCATCGGATCGATCTCGGATTACAAAGTTGTTGATCTCTACATGACCAACTCTACGCAGAGAAATCTCCTGAAATCTTATGTTGCTTCGGTCGGCCCGGTAAAAATCTATTAGCTTCTACAAAACATGATTTTGTTGGGGGAATTTATTATTTTTAGGGACAAATTTATTATTTTTGTGGGAACATTTATTAAACTTTTGGGGAACTTTAAAGATTGCCGTGATTATTAACGCTGGTCCGCGCGAATTTATGTACTACCGGAGTGGAGTTTATCGACCATCCACGTGCGATGGGAGGAGCGGTACACATGGAGTGCTTTTGGTCGGGTATGATATTACTTCTTTAAAAAGTTCGTCCATGGCATTGATTTGTATATGATTAATTGCAACTTCTGCATATTTGAATTGTTAAGATATGGAAAGGAGAAGGCGGATGAATACTGGATCTTAAAGAATTCTTGGGGGAGAAATTGGGGTGAAAAGGGCTACATACGAATGGCTTTAGACTTTAAGATCAAAGGTAATTGTTACGAGTACGAACTTGGCCCGTACTATCCGATGTGGGCAATCGCATAGAAAGGACATTATTTAAAATGTGCATCAATTAAATTTGTGTAACAGAAAATAAAAATATATCGACAAAAAGATTTTAATAATCGATGTGTAGCACACGAAATTTGTTCCAATGACATTTGTCTTAAGGGGGATTTAATAAACTCCATACTGGATTTTTAGCATTCAGAGCGGCAAACCTTTCATTATCCTAAATTTCTATACCGCATTGTCTGTCATTACCCTGCCGGTCGAGTCATTTATAGATACATAGATGTATGTACTATAGCGAGAGATGATTAAATACCAATTTTAAATAGGAGCAAGTTCCAGCTCAAAGGAGGGGAGCTTATCCAACAACAGATTTCGATGCCCTTTGGACATGTGGTAGTATATATCTTATGGGATTATATTAGAGTAATTTTCATGCATATAATATATGTACATAAATAAATCATAGGATTCCACGTTAGAATAAGATGTTCATAACACGAACATGTTGGAAAGTTCAGCATTTTCGTGTCAACATACACATGTTAATATTTAATCCACGTGTACCAATTTCGCTAATAGCTTATCTCAAAATTCCTACTTCTTGTCTCCAATAATGCTAATAGCTTACAAAAATACAATAGGACGCAGTTAAATTATCACAACGGACAAATTCTTTGCCCATCATTCCTATTTCTAATAAATAGTCACAAAAAACTTAAAATGGTTCCTGCATCCGTGAAATTTTTGCTACTTTTCTCCACCCTCATTTCCCCCACAATTTCCATCTCTCCACGAGGAAATTCTGGCTGTTCGGCAGGATGGGCACCGTCTGGCCTTTGCTGGCGATACTGCCAGGCCGACCACGGTCAATGGTGTTACACTGGGCTTAATTGCAACACAGACAATCAATGTTCGCAGAGATCAATTTGTGCCAACATAACTTGCCAGGACACCCAAACTGACTGCGTCACAGACTGCTTCTTCGACGAATACAGTCCTCGAGGTAACGACGGCTGCAGCTCATGGGGTTGCTGGCGATACTGCATGGGCGACAGTGGGGACTGGTGTTACACGGGGCGCGAATGTTCCCGGGAGAACGATGGAATTTGCAGTGAGGAAAAATCATGTCGGAAAATGAACTGCCCTGCTGGAAAGAAGGGGTGTGTGCTAACTTGCAATTTAAAAATGTCACAACCTTCCAAGTCAGGTAGGCAAGAAGCTGCACTTAGCAGCCTCGAAATCCCTCAGAACTCACAGTGCAAATTTGTGCTGACCATCACCCCCGCATTGCGTCAACTAGCCGAGAATTGGATAACAAAGCAACAATCCCGCTCAAACATTGCCACCTGGATATATCGGACGAAAACCTATCAAGAAAATAAGTCCCCAATTTCCCGAAATTTCACCAAGTTTTCAAACCAGTGCACCTTTGTGTTCATTTTCGACAACAACTTCGACTACAGCCCTAGCGACGTACATGACCTACTTTTAGTGCATTACTCGTGGTCTGCGAGGGCGATCGTTGTCCTGGTTACGGACCTAAGCCCGCCCCAATATAACCCTTGGATTTGGGTAACCCTGGTTACCCCAGTGTACGTCCATATCTGGGATTGGGTAACGTTGGAATATACAAAAACCACGAATAGATACCACCAGGTTTCAGACATTTGGGGAAATAAAGACCCCGTTACGAAGGACTTTTCCCTACTTGAAATTTCCTACCCGTGGCGGGGCGGTTCCACATTGGGTATTCCGTGTTCCCCAATGGGGACACTAAGCGGGAAAAATATTGCCACTTACAACAAATTTTGTACCAAAGAACAACTCGAATATTTATTTCTGGAAAGCTTCTTTAACCTTTCGCTGACTTCCTGGGGAGGAAATGAACCCGATCGGAGGGGTGATTTTTTCCCGAAAATTGTCCCCAGAAGACGATTCACTGAAAAGTATATGCCCGACGATATCGCCGCATTAGCACCAGCAAGTGAATCCCGCCCTGGAATAATATACTGTCGAAGACATGGCATCTTCGGCACGGCAAATGCTTCCATAGACGTTTGGTTATCTCCGTTTGATAATATCATGTGGATTTTCGTATTTGTCATGTTCCCGCTCCTGGCGCTGAACAGTCTCTCAGTAAATATTATCACTTCACCCAGAAACATCGTCATGAACTATACCTATCAAATCTACGTTTTGACATCGATCCTAATCCGCAACGGGGTCCGACCATATACCTGGCGCCTCTTTCTGTTCGGCCTGATCAGTCAGTTGATTCCTTGTTTGTATGAATCCATCATTACCGGGAAACTTCTAGCGCCCATAGCACCACGAAAGTTCCAAGATGTCGGCGAGTTGGTTAGAACCGGGTACACAATTGAATATGATGTAACATCCTATGACTCAGACGATATTGAGAAAGATATTGGAATAGAATTCAAAAAGACCCGGGTTTTTCACAGATTGAACCACACTTTCCACTACAACGCGACCAGTTTATTACTTGAGTATTATGGTTCTGATTACGGAAGAAATTCCTTTCTAGCCATGTTGGGAGATGAGAATAGGCTAAGATCATATTTTAGCGCCATGCAGGAACTAGAGTTAGTCTTGCTTTCGGAAGAAATGGAAATCTTTGTAAGGCGAATTAAGCATCGGCATCACTGTCACGTCCTGCAGGTCGGGGACCGACTCAGCTTTTACTGGTTTTTCTACGTCCCTCATCGAGAAATGTTAATCAGGGTGAATGAATTGCTTGGAGAATCTGGAATTTTACAGATGTGGGAGGAAATGTGGTACAATTACAAAAAACTGAGTCAGGGTGAGAAACAGAGAAAGAGTGAGGTTTACAAGAGAGACTCTCCGGATGTTATCGGGCTAGAAAATTTGTCGACGTTCTTTACAATCTGGGGTATTTTCGTCGGGTTCGGACTGGTGCTTTTCATTTTTGAGTTTTATAAAGTACCTCTTCAATTTGTTCGCGATATCTACAAGGCTGGGAGACTGTTAGTGAGAATTTACAAGAATGAGGGGTTCCAAACAATGTTATTGTCTACGTATTTAAAGTAGGCCACCTTCCTTATAAGAAAATGTACACACTTGGGACCTCTCTAAAAGCACGTACCATATTAGACTAAAGTTGTTACCATTATAACGGTGTAATATTCTCACCATTTATTACTGGTCCGAGTAACAGAAAAGGCCTTCACTACAATTTCCGGAGAATTATTTAATTTTTACTAGTCACAGATATTCAGAGGCTGCGTCGAACAATGGACAATTTCCCGAGTCGGAAATAGTAATGTGCGAAATCAAACTTTGCGTAAATTGGTGCAACAAAAACTTGGCAAACCAATATGCATCAATATGCATCAATTGCATCAATAGTAGCCCTGCTTAAATATTAGCCGTATTCGAATATACGCGTCTCTATTTCCATACAACCACACTTCTTGCCAATTCATTGGGATAATTAAATTATAGTTCAATATAACCACAGTTACACGCTATCGAATCGATGAGTCGAGGACAAAACACGAATTTAGCTCATGGAAGGAATTGTTGAAGAGCAGGTGGAGCAGAATAATATTCTAATGGACTACGACTCTAAGGGCAAAATTGGTCTTGTCCTTAAAATTTAATATGAGCTTGATTCAAAAAATAAAAATCATAGTCGTATGCAAATAGTAGCCGTGTCAATCTTCATAATTTTAGAAATAGTGACCTTGCCCAAATAGTAGCCTTGCTCAAATTGTAGCCGGTTCTCAGCCACCGATTTTATAAATAGTAGCCCCCGGCTACTATTTGAGTTTTTACGGTAACCGCCTTTGTTACAATTGTGATTCCGAGTAGTAATGAATTTTTTCCGTCCGGTCATAACATTATACTACCGGTATCAAAATCATCATAACTCGGGTTCAACATTGTAACCAAGGCGGTTAAGTCATATACTGACACCGGCGGTGTTGATTCGACAAATTTTTATTTTGAGTGTACTGATAGTTGAGTATGTAAATCAACAATGTAACAATGTACCGATATTTGGTCAATCATAATTAGCTCTCAGAATTTGTAATGTTTACATATTTTCTTAAATTTATTGTAATGGAAAATTTTTACCTTGAGGCTTAATAACCCAGAAATGGGGTGTCTCATTGAAATAAATCAATCAATCAGCGTCTCCAACGTAAAACTGATCGAGAGGAGGCAAGTTGTAATCTGGACTTTTGGCCTGGAATGCTACGTTGTTGGGTTTATAGATATCCTATTAAAACAAGTCTCAAAGGATGGAGACCGTGGCAAACGTGGGGAACGTGCTGGTCCAGGAATACGACAAATTAAAGCGAAGAGGTATGCACACAAAAATTAATGAGGGTACTTTTCACATTCACAATACAAGTCTTTTTGGTTTTGCATTCTGAAGATGTGTATGTTTTTGTTATGGAATATATCGATTTTACAGGAAATTTATTGCAGATTCCAAACATCATTGCCGTTTATTGGTAACTGTAAAAGTTTACAAAATATTGTGCATACAATTTCGAAAATGCAGGCAAAATAATTCATGGCACCACATTAATTTTGATCCGAAAACACTTGCAGAGTTTGAAGAATACTTTGTTGGCTCCCATTTTGCATCAATTACTTTCTGGATATGACATTGAGTGTGCCAAGCTTTTGACCAGTTCCGGCCCTAATTTCCCCCACTTCTTGCCGACGATCACTTATAACTAATTTTTGGGCGTTCAAAAACCTGACAGTGCTAAAAACACTATGTCATTGTATCTGTAGAATTGCTAATAAATACATAAAGTCTAGAGATTTGTTGAGATCGACTATAAATGATACTCAACGGGTTTGAGACCGTCCTCCGCAACGACCCGTCGCAGTCGGTTTCTCCAAATCTCTCCTAAGAAGGGCAGAGGGAATAACTGACGAACTAACACAAGTCGTCAATCAATTAAACCTCTATTTATTAATTCTCAACCAATTTACTTTACAAAATTATTGGAAGAGACTAAAACACATTACTTGACTGATTCACAGACAAAAGAACAGTGCCAGAAGGCACGGAAAAGACCTCGCCTTCACAAAGACGAGGGACACTCAAATTATAGGGGGAATAAAAATACTTATATACTAATGCCTTATGATTTCTTCAAGATTGCCCCAGGTTGGGGATGTGGTCAAGTGGGATCAACCTTCCACAAAGTTTGAACTTAATATTTCTCATAATGTGTCGATTTTGACCATAATCTCAGTTTTCCTCATGTTATGGGTTTGGTCAAGTGGGGCTACTAGTTATTAAGAAATAAGCTCGAAAACATAAACAAACACATAAATTTGATTTCTTTTTTGCATGGAACGCTTCCATCTGAATCAGGGTTACAAGTGATATATATCACTGAGTGAGATTTAGTGAGATTTAATGATATATATCAATCATCTCACTTGGGGCTGAGTGAGAAATATGAGAAATAATGAGATAAACTAGTAGTTCATGACCCCGTCCGCTAGGTGGCACTAGTGCATGGCTCATAAATCTCATTATTTCTCATATTTCTCAGGTCTCACTATTTCTCATTATATTTCAGTGAGATGAGATTTGTGAAGGTGAGATGAAATTTCTGCAACCCTGATCTGAATGAGATCATTCTGCAAATACTTATTCAGGGTCAGCTGTATCGTACATATACATACATATTTATATGAATATTTTCCTCTGCAAAATGCGCACCATTAATTATAATTGTCACTGACGGACAAACCTTATTAATTGGACTTGCTAATGTACAAATCCTGATGAACTTACTCTTCTTTCGTCGTTACGGCTATTTATTTATTCCTTGTACAATTGTACATATAGAACAATGGCCAATTTCCAGAATAGTATGTATTCATGAACAGATGCCGTACTGTATTTAACAGTCAAGTCTGTTAACCCACGAGTCAAACTGTATTAAATTTTCACTATGGATTAAACCCTCACAAAACAAGAGATCGATTCGAATATGTCAATATTTTACAAATTTACAAATCTGATCGCTTTTGCCACACTGGTGTCAAACTCCACGTGTCAAGAAGATACATTTCTGTATGACACGTTCCCACCAGGTTTTCAGTGGGGATTTTCCTCCTCAAGTTATCAGGTAATTTTTTGTTCCACTTGTAACAAAATTCACACAAATAAGTTCAATTGCATATTTAAATATTTCCTAAATTCAGATCGAAGGAGCATGGAAGGAAGACGGTGAGAAAGACATTTCTTATCTTACTGTGCGTCCAGAATTATTAGTCGCAAAAAATTCTTAAAGGTTACCCGGCAGATTATTTATTTTTCAACCAAATAACCGCTCAGAAAATTTTCCAAGAAATTGCGACTACTACATAATATTGGATGAACAGTAGCACTACTTTAATGATGCAACCAATAAATATTTGTTTTTTGCCAAGTCATGAGTATAGTTAGTGAAGTATCTTATTCCGGTTGTAAAATATTTCAAGTGTCTCTTGTCCGATTTTATAATCAAGCATTTGTCACTACAGGGAAAGGTGTAAACATCTGGGACACATTTGTCCACCGAATTCCATCCCCGATTCCGGACAAGAGCAATGCAGATATTGGATGCGACTCGTACCACAAATATGACCATGACGTTTCTCTTCTCAAGTATATCGGGGTAGGAAATATTTACATGTTTATGAAGCGATTAATTTGCATTTCCTGGAATGTATTAATTTCTAAGAAAAAGTCGGTATCATAAATTTACATATCATTACTTTGCGCAGGCGGGCGTCTATCGGTTTAGTTTATCTTGGACCAGGATTCTTCCCACGGGTCGAATTGATCAAATAAATCCAGCCGGGATTCGATACTACAACAATTTGATTAACCTCCTCCTTGCCAATGGGATCGAACCCATGATTACCCTACATCATTGGTATGTTTATGAATGTGTGAAGAATCTGTAATTTAGCGTAATTTACATAATCGGGTATTTGCATATTTGCTTGACCACCGTCGGATTTAAAAACCCGGGTGTACTTATTTGAACCTCTTACCATTGAAAATCGTATTGAATTTTAACCATGTGCATTTAGGGACTTGCCTCAACCCCTGCAGGATCTTGGTGGCTGGCCAAATGAGAATGTAATCCAACACTACAGTAATTTTGCAAACCTCGCATTTCACACGTTTGGAGATCGTGTCAAGAAATGGATTACATTTAGCGAGCCGAATGTCATGTGCCTAAACGGATACATAACTCGGGTGAGTGTGCTAAATGACAAATGTAAATACAAAAAGTATCACAAATGAAATGCAATGTGGGCAAAAATTGGATTTTTGCCGAATGCAAATTCGGCAAAACAAGTCAGTCCAATGTGGTGACCATAATGTTAAAAATCTGGTAGATTCAAATTTATAATCTCTACTGGGGCTGATTTGGTAATCATTTCCTACCGGATCGCTAGTAATTTGTTTCTGAATATTAAATTTTACATTTCTACAACATTATTACACAGTCCTATAGAGGGGTCGCCCCGGGAAGTGATGGTCAGTTTGTAATTAGTAGCAGGGTAGTAAACAATGGTTTCAGAGATCTTATTTCATCGTACAATATTGCAAATATATCCAACCACGTACCCTAAAATTTCATTAGCTTTCCTTGAAAAGCAAATTTCGTACGCAACTTCAAAGCGAGGAAGTCGGGAAACGAATTTTTTGTAAGTACCAAAATTCGATTTACAAAGACTCAAAGAAGTCTTCACCACATTTCAACAGAGAAGGGTGTGGCCGTGCAAAAATTAAGACTGGCATAAAAAAGTATGGAGAATCCGAAAATGTCAACCTTAAATACGCACCATGAGAAAAAACCATCTAAATCAACACTTAAGAGTAAAAAACGATTGACTTTATTTTTGGAAAATGTTGTGCCACGTTCATGCCTGATGCGGCCAGAAGGTCAAAGATAAATACAAACTACTTCCATCATGATAAGGCCCATAAGTTGTGGGTCAAAGCGTGTGCAAATAAATCTCCAGCAAAACATATGGAAGGTCGCGAGAAAATGGTAAACGCAAAACGTCCCAAGCTTTACAACGAAATTTCTCAAAAAAAGTATCCACTGACAACGAGTCCTACATCCTTAAAAACGTTCCTGAAACTTCGGGAAGAGAATTTTTCCATGACAAATATATCTCTCAAATGAAAACCGAAGCGAAATTAAAATGTTTTTAAAAATTTCTCAAGAAATTTCCGATTTCGTTGGCGTCAAAATGTATGGTGATCAAATGGCAGTTTGTTTTTGAAAAATGAAAACCCTCCAAATGTCCCTTATCTTCGCCCCATCGAAACATTTTGGACTCTATGTAAGAAGTAATACTCCCTGCTTTGTGAAACAGTCGATATTTTAAGAAAATTTCGGTTCCGGTAGGAAAAAACTAACAATGAATTTGCAAAGTCTTCCGGAAAAGTATTATTGGGGGACGTGGCTAAAAAGATTAAATACGAACTGGATAATGGATGAAAGTCTCTTTTGCTTGCGGATCTATTACATCAAATGTATTTAACATATTATCCCCAAATTTGAGACTTCTAGAGTCATTTTTTCACCATTTTTTGGGACAAATTTCACATCACCACTTCCCGGGGCGACCCCTCTATATAAATTTGTACTCCAGTCAGTTAAAATTTAGTGCATACTTAGAAAACTTGTAAAGTAGTTGATCTTCACTGAACGGAGAGAATATGTATATGTAAATATGTTTTTCTACCTTCGCTGGTAAAAACTGGGGTTACCGTTTAGTAATGTCGTGGTAGTAAAAAGTTTACCGCTGAAAAACAAAACTACCGCCTATTCGGTAGGAAGGTATTACCAAACCAATAACAATATCAAAACAGAGGATTTGCATGTCAGTATGTAACAATACCAGATCTTTTACAGTGTACCAATCTTCTAAGAGGGTACATGTCTTACCGTAGAAATTTACATATATAAAAGGATGTGCCAAAAATAGTGCAAAATTCTAACAATTTCAATAATACAAAACCAGACTTACGCCCCTGGACACAAAAATGTCAATGAAGCAATAAATTGTGCCCGCAACGTGATAATATCGCACGCTAGGGTGTATCGTATATACGACCGGGTTTTTCGTCCCCTTCAAGGCGGTAAAGTGGGCATGTCCTTGTCCTCGTATTGGTTACAACCAAAAGATCCACAGAACCCGGAGCATCGAAAGTCTGCTGAATTTTGGATGCATATTGAGGTAAAATATAGTCTCAAGTAATAACATAAATATGTCAACATATGCAATGAGATGTCAGACTTTGTAGGTCGGTAACCACGTTAAATTATGAATTTGACTAGACTTCGGACCATTCATAACTTAATTTTAACTTACAAAAAATTACGAAGTTAAAACCTGTTTGGATTCGTAATCTGATATTTATCAACTAACGTGCTTACGGGCGTACGAAGGTTGGCATGAAATGGATTAATGAAACACTCTTAAATTGTACATTTTCCTCTAATTAGTGGGGACTTTTCGCGTTTCCAATCGTGTTTGGGAGTTATAACGATGAAACGAAGCAGCTTCTGGGAAAACTAAGGAAATTCAAGTTAACATCGGCCCCGGTAGAATTCACTGCGGAAGAATCGGTGGAAATTAAAGGTTACAAATTTATTTGATTTAATCAAAATTCAATATAAGATGAATAGTTTAACAGAATCTGGAAAATTTGAAAATCTAATAGTGCTAAATATTCCGAATTATACGAACTATGAATCCAAAGATTTCCTGAAGTGCCCACACGTATTACAAATTCTAGGAAGCTACGATTTTTGGGGGCTTAATCACTACTCAACATACCTAGTGGAGCCAACTAAAGTGACGACATCCATCCTTCATGGAGACTTCATCGGTTTATTTCTCGGCGCAAAGATATCTTTTGATCCAACTTGGCCAAAAAGTGCAATACCCCACACCCCCTCGGTCCCCTGGGGTTTTAGAAAAATGTTAAACTGGATCAACCAGGGGTATGGATCTCCAGAAATTTACATAATGGAAAACGGGTATCCCGATTCGCCCAACACCGGACTTGAAGACGTTGCCCGGGTGAAATTTCATCGCGATTATATCAACGAAATGTTAAAGGCTGTCAAAATCGATGGTGTTCAAGTAACCATGTACACGGCGTGGGGTCTTCTCGACTGTTTTGAGTGGGTATGTGCATTTGAAAAGTTGCATAACCAATAGATAAAATTTCGAAAAAATCGTAGAATCACAATGTTAATGCATTTTTCGAAAATTTAAAACTCTCATGATTAAAAATGTTTAAATTTTCAGTCGTACGGATACACCGTAAATTTTGGAGTGGTCTACGTCAACCATAGCCACCCGGAGAGACCTCGGACCCCTAAACTTTCTGCGACTTGTCTGCAACAAATCTTTTCCGATAACGGATTCCCTCATGAAAATTTTTCACCTTTAAAAATAAACTAAATTATGCTGTATAGAATTCGAGTGGACAATTGTTATAAAATAAAACTCCAATGCTTTTCCCCCTTATTTTTAAAACTTTTCCATGTTTGTATTAATTTTACTAGAAAACATGACTGTTTGATAATAAATACACCGTTGAAATTAGATGTATCAATTGGGTGAAACTACACGGAATTATCCTTAGACCCACGTCGTCTTCTACCAATTTTCTATAATTGTTTCAAGTCACCCCACGCACGTCTCAGAATAGGCTCTAAGAGACTTTGCTGATATGCACCATTCGTTACAAATTCTGGGAGACAAAAATAACTTGCTTGCTGGCCTACTAGGTAGTATTTTAGACCTTTTCTGCCGTTACACACTTACAAATCCAGTATAAAAATAATACCAAGTGGTGTTCATATTTACATTTATGATTATGCAAAAATGGTACTGAGAGGAATTTAATTATTGTCTTCATTTTCATACATACTGTAATTGCACACACGTTATCATACCACATACGTTACCGTAGAAAAAGCTGTCTACAAAGGAGTCGAAAAATAAAATAAGAAAAATTCATTTCGTATTGATAAATAGTACCGTGTTTGTAGTACTAGCTCGGTATTAAATTATTAGTACCATGTTGTTACTAACCGGTATAATTTGACCATGCGGTAGCAACCTTAGCACAGATAAATTAGTACCTGATGCCAGATTTCTAACAGTGCACATATATACAAATATACAGCTACTTATTCGTTGTACATACAGAACAATGCACTATTTCCCAATTAATAAATATTAATGAGCAGATGTTGCAGTGTATGCAATCATATTTATTTAACAGTCCAATCGCCGAATCTACCAGCCAGGGTATATTAAATTTTCACTACGGATTAAACCAAGAGTACAAATATGTCCAGTTTTTACAAGTTGATCGCTTTAGTTACACTGGTGTCAAAATCAACTTGTGACGAGGATGCATTTCTGTATGACGTCTTCCCCTCAGGATTTCAGTGGGGCTTTTCCTCATCAAGTTATCAGGTAGATAAATAGATTTTTCCCAAACATATATTTACAAACTACGGTTTTGATAAGTTCAATTAAATCGATAAGATATTCATTAAATTCAGATTGAAGGAGCATGGAAGGAAGACGGTGAGTGAGATATTCTTATGCCACGGGTTATAAAAATATTGGTACCAATATTACAGTCAAATCGTACACTGTAAAGCATCCGGTAGAGACTCCGTACCGGTATTGATTTGGTAATAATTCAATACCGGATTGGTTATAGTTTGATTCTGAGCGGTACATGATTTCATTACCAGCTCATTACTACGCCGTAACGATCGATATTACCGATGCCGGTAGAGGCATATACATATGTACTACGTCCGGGAATAATTCGCAATGATTCAATACCAGTTGCCTAAGAGTGTATTTGCGCTCGTCACCTTGTAAAATGTGTCGGCATGTTTGAGAAACTTGTAGCGCAGTTTAACCAAGTACAATTTCACTCTAAATAATTTCTAGACAAATTTTCGCCCGAATACTTCGAATAAATATGTCGTATTCCTTTGTGGGCAATAACTAAGAAGACATTTTGTCACCAGTTAGTGAAAATAAGTCAAAAACTCATTTGCCAAACATATGTAACGTCGTTATTTAACAAAATTATCAAATGCAGATGTAACTCCAATGATTTATAAAATATATTCCTTCAGGGAAAGGAATACACATCTGGGACACATTTGTCCACCGAATTCCATCCCCGATTCCGGACAAGAGCAATGCAGACATTGGATGCGATTCGTACCACAAATATGACCATGACGTCTCACTCCTCAAATATATCGGGGTACGAAATCAAAATTAATTTGTATTTCTTGAAATTTAACAATTACCAGGACAAAATTCTTCTTGCTATTATGAAACTTATCATTGCTTTGGTCAGGCAGGTGTTTATCGGTTTAGTTTATCCTGGACCAGGATTCTTCCAATGGGGAGAATTGATTACATAAATCCTGCCGGGATCCAATACTACAACAATTTGATTAACCTCCTCCTTGCCAACGGTATCGAGCCGATCATTACCCTACATCATTGGTATGCTTATGTAAAATCTATACGGGGTGGTTTAAATGTCAGGTTACAATGGAAAATTTTTCAACGGCAAAAATTCTTCAAGTTCCATTGGTTACGGATTTGGGATTAAGATTTTTATTAATTTTTATCAAAACTTATGGAACAGTGATGATAAAATTATTAAAATATTGAACTTCAGAGGCTAAATTTCGGTAACTAATGGAGATTTGCGAATTTTTCCCATTTAAAAATTTTCCATTGTAACCTGACATTTAAACCACACTGTACATGATGTTAGCTTTAAAATCGGGTATTTACATACCCGACTAAGGTCGTACATATTCCGACTTTAGACATATTTATCCACTTAAAAACCTCAGAATATTTTGAACGCCAAGGACTGAACACAGGTGTAGTCATAATTAATTTTTCGCATTTGCATTTAGGGACTTGCCCCAACCTCTTCAGGATCTCGGTGGCTGGCCAAATGAAGAAGTAATCCAGAATTTTATTGATTTCGCAAATCTAGCCTTTCACACGTTTGGGGATCGTGTCAAGAAATGGGTCACTTTTAACGAACCGAATGTAATGTGCATGCACGGATACATAACTGGGGTGAGTCTGTTAGAAGAATTTATGAACACCGTTTGTAAAACAATTGTAATTTGAATATGGTAAATTTAATATGTTTTACTGCCAAAATTTATATAAAGGGTGTGCTAAACCATGTATAGTACAATTATATAAAAATTACATAATTAGAATTTTTTAATCCAAAAACAGACACATGCCCCTGGACACAAAAATATCAATCAAGCCGTAAACTGTATCCGTAACGTGATAAAATCACACGCGCGGGTTTATCGTCTCTACGACCGGGTTTTTCGTCCTTACCAAGGTGGTAAGGTGGGAATGTCCCTATTCTCATACTGGCTGGAACCAAAAGATCCGAAGAACCCGGCTCACCAAAAAGTTGCTGAATATTGGATGCAAATCATGGTAAATTGCTATCTAACTTAAATATTTGTTTGTCGACTGATTCAATGAAACGTATGTAGCTCAATTAAATCTTTGACTAGTGGGGGATTTTCGCGTTCCCAATCGTTTTTGGAGATTATAACGAAGAAACGAAGCAACTGCTGGGAAAATTTAAGAAATTCAAGTTGACATCGTCCCCGATAGAGTTCACTTTGGAAGAATCTGTCGAAATAAAAGGTTATAATTCACTAATTTGTTTTAAACAAAAATACCCATATGTATGTAGTTTCCTGAAATTTTTATGAAAAACTTTCGCAAGAATAACAAATTTATGTCGGCTTATTTTCTTAATTTTCCGGAACAATGAATCCGGAAATTATGGATATGTAAAATTTCTAAAATATTCCAGGGAGCTACGATTTTTGGGGGCTTAATCACTACTCAACATTCCTAGTGGAGCCGAGCAAAGTGATAACATCCATCGTGCATGGAGACCTTACCGGCTTAGTGCTGGGAATCAAGATATCGACCGATCCGAACTGGCCGGAAAGTGCAAAATACGATCTAACCATAGTTCCTTGGGGTTTTAGAAAGATGTTGAACTGGATCAGAGAGGGGTATGGATCTCCAGAAATTTACATTACGGAAAACGGATATCCCGACTCTCCCCAAACCGGACTCGAAGACGTTGCCCGGGTGAAATTTCATCGCGATTACATCAACCAAATGTTAAAGGCCGTCAAAATCGATGGTGTTCGAGTAACCATGTACACGGCGTGGGGTCTTCTAGACTGCTTTGAGTGGGTAAGTTTGAATGCAAGTTATGGAGCCTTGTATAAAATTTACATTTTCAATTCATTCAGTCATCCTGATATTACTTGCAACATGTGTGAGAAAAATTAAACGAAAAAAAGCGAAAAGTCAAATCACTTTGTATAAATATTAGTTATTTTTGTAGTACTTCGGATACACCGTAAATTTTGGAGTCGTCTACGTCAACCATAGCGATCCTGAAAGACCTCGCACGCCAAAACTTTCATCTTCTTGTCTTCAACAAATTTTTGCCGAGAATGGATTTCCCCAAACAAGCTTTCCACTTTTAAAAATAGGATAAATTATTTGTCCTAATAAATATTCTTCCAGCGAGTAAGTATTGCAAAATAAAATATAACGATTTCTCATTTATTTCTAAAACGGACATCGACTGTAGATACATAATTGCATTACATTTGTATGCATGCATATACATATTTCTACATATACATGTAAGCATTGAATAAATTGAAAATAAATTTTTTACCGACTTGTATTTACGAAAATTATATCGATTGGTAAAACCTTTTACCGACGTGACCCAATTTTATCACCCCGCAATTACGTACTACAGTTGATTAGTTTATATTAATTACTTGTAGATAATCATAAATGTTTGGATACAGCTTGGTGTAATTAGCACTAAATTTCTAAGGGTGTAAATGGTTTATTAGATTGTTTGCGGTGAGGACATTTTCATGGATAAAAGTTTCACATAAAAAACGAATTGACAAATGGATTCCATTTGAATAATTGTTTTCTACACGGTTTAGAATAAGTATTTCCAAGTTTTGTTATACAATATCATCTGAACATAAACGATGAAAATATGTTGGGCATTTTTATTAGCAATAGTTTAAAGGCAGATGACAAATAAACAAATAGGTAAGAAGAAAAATTAAGAAACCCAGGTTTATACGTAGACATCAAGTAAACGTAGATAGCAAGTAAATCGAGGGTTTTAAAAACAAGAATGTGTATCTTATCTTACACAATCTGGATATTCTATATCAATACATAGTTGATTAACTCTTTAAATATCCAACTTAACGAGGTGATATCGATCCGCACGAATTTTGTCTTAATGCGGAAAAACAAAGTTAACCGCGACTTTGTTCTAATAAAAACAAGCTTAAATAGTCTCAACATTAAGGAAATGGATGCATACAAGAATACGTACCTTTGTCAACAAAGTACAACAAATATGTGTATAACGAGCTCAATAAAATTGTGGAAAAGTCGCAAAGCCTACCTACTTAAATTTTTAATCTAAACGGACAATACACTTTTTATTGATTAATTCCCAACCTATCCTGACTGTAGGAATCACCCTACTACATACCAAGTTTTCCATCTTTCTGTGCCGAACTTGCCTAACTTTGCAGGCAAGCAACTGTCCTGTCTCATTCGTTTCTCGGTATCGATTTTGTATTAGGTTTGACTCAGTTTTAAACGTTTACTGTCTGATTATGTACGTAGTACCAAAGGAAACATAGTAGGTAAAGACACAATAATAAAGATTTAACAAAGGCATAAACGTGCCGGATGGGATATGTGCAAATAAATTTATTGCCATTCTTAGCCCTCAACAACTTAACTTTAAAGCCTAAAACCCAGCAAAAAATTAAGTTTCACTCGTATTTCCGCATCCAAATCCTTATGTGTCACTGGCAGCATTTTGAAATAGTGTCTTAAACTAAAATTCTAAAATTCCACAATCTTTATAAGCTGAAATCAAATTTCCATTCCCTTACTTTGCAGCCTATTAAAATATTATCTTAAATTTTTAAATCCCGCAATATTTGCACCATGAAAAATAAAATTTCTCCCGTGCAACCCTTCCCTCCGCCACCCTTATCGACACAATTCCTGGAAACTTACTCTTCAACTTTTGACGCGTATTTTGAAACACATCCCATAGAGTGGGACTCTAAGGAAGAAAAATTTACTATAAATTCTGTCTCGCACTGTAAATTGTACTGGTTTAACACAGTCATAATCTTTTTTGGGATGACTTGCGTCCCGACGGGTTACCTTATTCGGCGACAGTTCTTGTACGGGGCTAATTCCACGTGGACGGGAATATTCTTTCCCATCCTAGGATTTTTGTTTATGAGCGTGTTCATCTTTGTGTTGATCGTGGCGTACTACGCGTCCGGTGTGGTAGCTCTGTTGACGAATCTGATACAGTTGGAAGAATTGATTTTGAAAGGTAAGAAATACTCTAAATTTTCCTGCGCAAAATATTCTTAAGTTTGGACTACCCGGGAACATTCGATACAGTCTTATTTGCGAATTTCACCTTTTTCATAGACAAACGAATAGCAATTAATGCTTACAATTTTCAAAATTTGATTTTTCTGTACATATTAAATTTCCAAAAATAAAACTTTTGCACAATGGAAATTGTACTGTAAGGTCATAGTGGATCAATAATTTATCAGTTTTTTTCATTCTCCTGAAAAATATTGTGTTACAACACACAGTTTAACCTTCATGAAAATAGTACATGTATGTATGCAATTTAGTGTTATAAGTACATATTTGAGCAATATAATTTGTAGAAATACAAATTAACGTTTTTAAAGGATTTTAAATTTCTTTTATCAGAATCACTCTCCAACCCTCTGAAAAATGTGGCTCGCCACGAAAATCTCATCCAATCCCTCCGCCGTCAAAATCGATCTTTCGTCCTCACTCCCTTCATCTTCGTTGGGTTTGCCATCTTCTTAAACCTCTGTCCACACGGCCTCCTCGTCACCGAATTGTACCCCGAAATCCTTCACGGAAACGGAGTATGGACCGTGCGAGCCATCTCATTCGTCCTGATGAGCATCGGGGGTCTTGAACACGGCCAAATGATGGGACTCTTCTGCTCCTTCACGTGCGCGATAACTTACAGTTTCGAGAGGATATCCACCTTGGCGGGAAAATTGCAGATTCGAACGAAACCCCGATTCCACAAAGCGATCCAGATATATCTTCAGATTCAACTAATTTCAAAAATCGGGCGGAGTTTCATCCTCACATGGATCTCACTCCTCCTAACGACCACATTTTTCGTGATCATCGGGTTCAACTACGTTGTGATCAAGCTGTACGGCAAGATGCCGGTGACGGTGTATGTCATGGCGCCGTATATGAATGGGGTAATGTTGTCGACCCTATGGTACCTGCTGCCCGCCTTTACCCGGGTAAATGTCAATATGGCGGAGGGCAAAGAGAGATTGAGGTGCAGGTCGATGTTTGTCTTGACAAGGAATTCGTGGCAGCGAAAGATCGCCGATTCCGTGGCTGTGGGTGGGATCGAGTGCGGATTGGGTGACTACAAGTTTTTCATGATTGAGTATGATTTTAAGAAGGATTTCTTCAATAAGGTGTTGGACAATACGTGGAATTTGTTGTTATCGTTTCCAGACCCGTAAATTAGTAATTTATGATTAAATCGGCACCACTTTGTTTATTCTTATCTGTGACAAATAGGAGGGTGTCTTACGATGCTTACGAAATCTCGTAAGCGTCGTAAGTTGTTTTACGATACGAAGAAATAATGAATACACTCATTAATTTATATCTCACATATGCAAAGTACTTCGCATAATAGAATATTAGTGAAGAATTTGAGGAATATCATATTGATTTTAAGGATACTTTTAAGATAATGGGTATGTATGAGTGTAAGTTTGTATGGATTAAGGACAGTACAGTGTTTTGCATGGTAGATTGCGAATAATCAGAGTACTTTGGTTCAAAACAATGGGAGGCAGAGGTCGTATGCCTTCTGTATTTTTCATCGTCCATTTACGCAATGGTAAATCCGTCAGTCTCATTGTGACTGGAGAAAGAGGACTACTACCAGGGCTAATATTTTTTGATTTCCCTTGACTGGTATGAATGGGCAGGATTTAGCACAATAAATCGTCTCATGATGCTCAAAAAATTTTACCCGTTTTTCAAGAAAATTGATATGACGTTGCACAAGAACGGAATATGATGAAAATTTTGAATGAATATGCAAGATTACTGGTTCCACCACAATTGCAAATTCATCAAATTCCGTTCTTGTGCAATGTCATATCAATTTTTTTTAAAAATGAGGGCCATAAGCTCAGCATTGCGAGCCATTTGTGAGACAAGTGCCTCATGTTTCTCCCCATTAACGTTAGCTATGTTAGCTATGTTAGCTCTCAATCTGCTCCTGTGTAAACGTCCGCATGCACGGAAAACCAAAACTCAATGATACTCATCGGTCTCTATAACATCTGGGGGTGGTTCCAGACGCCATAAAGTATATATATTCTGAATCCTCCTACCAAGACCTTTCCATCGATACCCCTCTGATGGGGTTATGTGAGACTTTGCCTGGTGACCTTTTTCGTTTGTGCGAAAAACTTGTTGACCTTGGAAAAATTTAAAAATCCTTGACGAATCTGATAGTACAAGTCAGTCTGATCAGTTTTTATCAAATATGAAGAAAATCTATCGGGGATTGTTGAAATGCGAGCTATTTAAAAAATTATGATGGATGAGCCAACTTTGTAACTAGACCTCATGTCATTTTGAGGTCAAGGAGTACGGGTAGGGCCTAGCGCTTCAGGGTGACCCAAAAGCATACCCCGGGGATTGTCCGTGCGAAGTTTGACCGCTGTGGGCCTACTGGTTGCTTCAAAATCGAGGGAGAAAGTTGGCAAGTTTTTTCGAAAAAGGCAGTGCTTTCACCCATACCATTAGACGGAGGAGGACGTGGAAATTTTAAAAACTGTCTAAATCGAATAGTTCGGACCCGCTGAGCAGGTTTTTGAGCTAAAACAGCAGAAAATAAAATACGACCTTTTTTACCGGCGATAGCTGATGGAAATCGTCATTACGTATTTTTTTACTTCGACTGACATGTTGGAGCAGTCAAGATGAAAATTATGTTTTGGGGTTTTCCCAAATTTTTGGGTAAAAATATTATAAAACGTGTGCAATTTTGGCAATCGATATTATTTCATTGGAGGTATAGGAATTTCTTCCAAAACTTCCGACATTGAAAAACTTCTTGATTTAAGAATCATGCAAAATTTAAATTTTGTTAAGAGTTCCCACACGGAAATTCCACCTTTCTGCATCCATACTGTTTGTTTGTTTGTTTAGCATTTATTCATGTGTTATTTCTCGATCAGTACATGAAATGACTGGTTTTCATCAAGTAACACGAAAAATAGGAGAAGAAATATTTCGTTACTTACATAATACATACTAAATACGTGGCATTCTAACGTGTTAACAAACATTACTTATTACAAAACATTACAAATATTATTGTAAAAAGTTATTTATGTATCATTAAAACTGGAAGTCTGAGTGAGCTAAAATATATGAC